TATATAGAAACTCTCTAGTGTCGATTTAACACTGGAGATTTGCTGTGTAGATGCAGCTTTGTCAATATTGTGAATATTGATGTTGTATGTAGAACGTACCTCAACAGCAGACTGCTTTTTGCTGTCCATGTTCAGGGTGATGTTAGCAGTCTCACTGTCAGCTTGAGAAAAGTTTAATTTGATGCTGATCGGTGACAATGTGTCGATCACACATTTCTGTAAAGCAAAAGCAACAAGAGGAGCAATAAACACGAGGATTGCTTTTGATCAGATTGAGAATGTGTGCAAATATTATGAATTCAGCTTCGTACGGGCATGTAGATGGAGAAGTTTAAGCAAGTCATTTTATCTTTCAGCTCATAGGTAGAGGTAAGACTCCTGGTTTTCGTATCAGTTTGACTGAAGAAACCTCGATGTTTTTGTCTCATTGGGTCCACGGCGAGCATGTATGTGATGTTCAGTCCAGAGCTCACATCTCCTGTAAACCCACAGAGCAGGATTAAAATAATGCATTCACAGGGTGCAGTCAGCAGCTGTTAAATGGTTTACTGGATGAGGCTCCTACCTTGTTTGCTCTTTGTTGCTTCGACCATTTCAAAACAGGCTGTTAAGGTAACCATAAGTAAATTTCCTTCTGCACTCTGACAGTCAAGTTTCTCTGTGCTTATCTCCTTAGGGTGGAAAGATAGGTGAGCCATCACATTAAAGACGGGCTTGGAGCTGAAAGACATTTGAGAACAGTAATAAGAAAGTAGAAATGATGCCCTCTTTCAATACTAAGGTTCTATATATCAGGACATAATACAGTATAGCAACATTAGTTCTTTATTTTATATACAAAACCAAACATTTTGTATCTGAAAAATTTGGGACATTTTATAAAATGTAACAACAGAATGCATCCATAAATCCATATTTTATTTACAACAGAACATAAAAGATATCAAATGTTTAAAATGAGAAAGTTTACCGTATTAGAAAAATATATAAATTAGCTCATTTTAAATTCAATGGAAGCAACACATCTAAAAAAATCGGTATGGGAGAAACAGGAGGCTGGAAAAGTAATTGGTACAAAAGGAAACAGGTGGAGGAACATTTTGCAACTCATTAGGTTAATATGGAACCAGTCAGTAAAAGAGAAGCATCTCAGAATGGCCAAGTTTCTCACAAGTAATGATGGGCAGAAGTTCACCAATTTGCAAAAAACTGCATCTACAAATTATGGAGCAATTT